TAAAATTTAAGATATGAAACAATAAATATACTAGAAGAGAACACAGGAAAAACACTTGAAGAAATTGGCTTTGGAGAATATTTTATGAGGAGGACCCCCTGGGCAATTGAAGCAACATCAAAAATACAATACTGGGATTTGATGCAACTAAAATCTGTGCAGCCAAGAGTACAGTAAGGAAAGCAAACTGAAAACCTTCAGAATGGGAGAAATCTTTGCAGGTTATGCTTCTGACAAAGGTCTGATAACTAGAATCCACAGAGAACTCAAAGTAATCAATAAGAAAGAAACAAATAGCACCATTGCTTTGTGGGTAAGAGACCAGAACATAAACTTATCTGAAGAAGACAGGTACATGGCCTATTAACACATGAAAAAAATGCTCGTCATATTTAATCATCAGAGAAATGCAAATCAAAACTACTTTGAGATATCATATAACTCTAGTAACAGTAGCCCACATCACAAAATTCCAAAAGCACAGATGTTGGCATGGATGTGGATAGAAGGGTACACTTCTGCACTGTCCGTGGGAATGCAAACTAATACATTCCTTTTGGAAAGAAGTTTGGAGAACACTTAGGGAACTAAAAGTAGACCTACCTTTTGATCTTGCAATTCCTCTACTAGGTATATATCCAGATGACCAAAAATTATTTTACTAGAAACATGTTTGCACCAGAATGTTTATTGCATCCCATTTCATAATTGCCAAGCCATGGAAGAAGCCCAAGTGCCTATCGACCCATGGTTTATATATACCATGGAATAGTATGCAGCCATAAAAGATGGAGACTTTCCCTCTTTTTGTTTACATGGATGTAACTGGAACATATTCTTCTTAGTAAATTATCTCAAGATTGGAATAAAAAGTATCCAATGTACTCACTAATATTTTGAAACCAGTACATAATCATCCACCTTTCATACAAATAATAAAATACAACTGTAGCCCAGAATGAAGGAGTGAAGAGGAGAGTGAAGGGAGGTGAGTGGGGAAGGGAGGTGGAGTCTAGGTGGAAGCAGAGTAATCAGTAGGACTTCACCTACTGTGCATAATACAAGGGTACATGTCAAATCTCTTAAGAGTAGAATATAAATGTCTTAACTTAACAATTAAGTAAGAGAGGTGAAGGCTTTGTTAACCAATTTGATGTAAGAATTTCAAATTATAGATAAAATCAGCCCATAAAAGCATTAATGTACATAGTCATGAGTATATATATATATATATATATAGATATATATATATACACAAACTGAAATTTGATCAAGGTAAAAAGCATGCCTAAAGGCACCCACAACATAAGCAAACAGAAAGCCTTCTGAATAGAAGAAGACTTTTGCAAGTTATGATTCCAACAAAGGTATGATAAGTAGAATCTACAGAGAACTCAAATTAATCAATAAGAAAAGATCAAACAACATCATTTATTTTGTTGGCAAGACAGTTGAAAAGAAATGACAGGCCAACAGACACATAAAAATATGCTCATCATCTTTAATCATCAGAGAAATGAAAATCAAAACCACTTTGAGATATCACCTAACTCCAGTAAGATTAGCCCACATCACAGAGTCCCAAAACTGCAGATGTTGGCATGGATGTGGAGACAAGGAACACTTCTACACTGTCATTGGGATTGCAAACTAACTCTTTTTGGAAAGAAGTATGGAGAACTCTCAAGGATCTAAAAGTTGACCTTCCATTTGATCCCTCAATTCCATTATCTGCCCAGAAGAACAAAAATCATTTTACAACAAAGACATTTGCACCAGAATATTTACTGCAGCCCAATTCATAATTGCCATGTTGTGGAATCAGCCCAAAAGCCCATCAACCCATAAATGGATTAACAAACTGTGGTATATGTATGACATGGAATACTATTCAGCCATAAAAGATGGAGACTTTACATCATTTATGTTTACCTGGATCGAGTTGAAAGACATCCTTCTTAGTAAAGTATCCCAAGAATGAAAAAAAATATATATTTCCAATATACTCAATATTATTATGAAACCAATGTAAATACACTTACACTCTCTCAAAGAAAAAGAACAGTGAGGAAAATTGGCATAGGTGTAACATTTCTTAAACTGATAGAGGCCATCTACAACAAACCCACAGCCAGTATCATATTTAATGAAGTAAAGCTGAGGATATTTCTACTTAGAACTCCTATTGCCAGTGCTATTCAACATAGTGTTGAAAGTCCTAGCCAATGCAGTCATTCAAGAGAAAGAGAACTAGGGTATTCAAGTGGAGGCAGAAGAAGTCAAACTCCCACTCTTTGCAGATAACATGATTTTATACCTGATTTTGTACTCTAGGAAGTGAAAAAAATACAGTAACTTCTCGGGATAAAAAACTAATGTCCCAGGCAGTGCCTGTTGCGCAGTGGGTAGGGCATTGGCCCCATATACCAAAAGTGGCGGGTTTGAGCCTGGCCTGCCAAAACTGAAACAAAAAAATAGCCAGGCATTGTGGCAAGCACCTGTAGTCCTAGGTACTTGGGAGAATGAGGCAGGAGAATCGCTTAAACCCAGGAGTTTGAGGTTGCTGTGATCTGTGACACCATGGCACTCTACTAAGGGTGACATGGTGAGGCTCTGTCTCAAAAAAAAAAAAAATTTGGCTCAGCGCCTGTGGCTCAAGTGGCTAAGGC